TTTTTATTTTCGTGTTTTGAGATTAGGTTTATTATTTGGTTTTAGGATTAACAGATTTCATGTTTTAATTCTGTGATTATCAAATTTAGTTAGGTACAGATTATGGGAATCGATGGTAATTCTACTTGATATTTCACTGCATCTATCTCTGCTAGAGAATTCTTCTGCTCACTGTTGCTCAGGTATTCCTCGGAGAGACTTCATGGAAAACATCAAGATATTTATTTTTGTTTCTAAGGTTATATTTATTGTTTATTTATTTTCCACAAATCATGTTGAAGTTGTTGGAGTTTGATCTCAATTTGTTATTTTTTATGTTGTACAAATCAGTTTATTATGGTTTTTGGAATCTCTAATGTTTTTTATTTCATTGAATTTTGTCAAATAACAGGTCATTGAAAAGAATGGTTTCGTAGGAGAGTCTTCTCCATGATCTTAAATTAGCGACTATCGATTTCAGACTACTTATCGAATAGGTAAATTAGTGCATACAATTTTCATATTAGAAGTTACTCAATGCGTGGGTTTTTATGGTTAATTAATTATATCGTTCTATTTGTGAAAGCGCTACATTGTATGCATAAATATATCTAATTTAAGTTTTTATTATTCTGAGCCACAAGATCATGATCTATGTCATGACAAAAACCAATATAACAAGCAACCTTTAAGAGAGAGAAAATTTTGTAAAATTCACCGGATTGTGTACTCTTACTGAGCTTATAAACTGAAACAAGAGGGTGTTTTTTTTATTTCCTTACAGGTCAGTTTCATTTTGGATAATTGATACTATGAACCATGTCATCAGCTTCACAATTTTGTATAATGTGTTTGTTTATGCTTGATTGATTATGCCATATTGCTCATGAAAATGCTAAGTTATAACTAAAATATGTTATTTCAATTTTATATTATTCTAGACGATAAAACCATGATGCATGCAAGAATGATAACTAGTCTAACAATGCATGTCTAACAGTATTAACTATCTCTATAAATCTACAATGAAAACTACAGGTACATAGTTAAGATTCTCGTGGAAAATAGCACGGATAATGCAAGAGTAACATTGTTTGATGTAGCAGAAGCTCTTATTGGATGCACTACAGAAAAATTCATTACGAAAAAATGAGGTAATTCCTAACTCTATTCAAGTAATAATTTAAAAAATAAAAAATGTTTCATATATATAAAACTAACATTTGTTCTCATTGAAACAGAAAAATAAGTAGAGTCCATATTTCTAGAAATTTGTGTTGAACATCGGAAAAACGTTCAAATTCCTGGTGAAGTTAGATGAAAAGACAAAAAATGAACGAGGCGAAGGAAATATAATAGCACAAGAAATCCACCTCCAGCCTGATATTACAATCGATATAGATGGTGAAGATGCTACTCTAGAAGTGCCCAAGAAAATATAAAGGTGGAGAAAAATTAATCTCGGTCCAATTATAATATGAAACAAAAATAATAAAGGATGATATTTTTTGATTATTTTATATCATATCTTAATTTTTGAGTAGAATTATGAATTTTTATAAGGGATTTTCGTACAACATTATTAGTAGTTTTGTATGCTTATGTGATTGCTTTCATCACATAAAATTATACTATAATTATCATTATTATTTAGTTTTTGTCTTTATATTACTTCTTTTGGACAATTATAGGTGAATTTTCTTGTCTTTTCTGTAATTAGTATGTTTTGTTCTTCAAATTTTATTATAAATTTCTGTATGGGATTACTCTAATCTTACTGCTTTTGGATAATTACTCTCTAATTATAAAGTTCTACGATGCATAATTATTTAAAATCTTCATATTTCATTGAGTTCGATCTAAATTTGTTTATAGGTTTGCTCTAATCTTACTGCTTTTGGACAATTACTCTATGACTACAATGTTCTGCAATGCGCACTTGATTAAAACATTCATGTTTCTTTGAGTTTCATTATAAATTTTTAATAGGTTTGGTCAAATCATACTGCTTTTCAATAATGCATATTATTGTATGGGTTGATTTTTGTTATCTCATGTAAGAAGAGGTATCTCGGAACCATTCCTTGCAATTTATTTTTATATGATTATTATGGTTTCGTAATATTGTTTATTATAAAACATTAGATTATAATGTCCAATGTGTTGTGAAATTTTATTTTCAATGTAATAAGAAATGTAGTTTCTTTTCTACTAGAACATTAGTTCATAATGATATTGCTATTCATGCTTGACTCCATATTATATATTGGGATTACTAGAGTTTAGAATATGACATAAAATATTAATTTAACTTATTTTCTTTTACTATTCTACTTGAAGATATTATTATGTCCACTCATATTTTTTCTTAAGAAATCAATTAAGATGTCCGAGTTAAGCTTATAATATCCAAAAATATTGTGCAATTCTATTTTCAATGCAATAAGAAATATGATTTTTTTATTGCTATAAATATAGTTCAGAATGATAATTACAATATCTGAGTTAGGTATATTCATACCAGTTTAGCTTAAAAATCCATTACATTGATTTTTAATAATATTTAAATAAAATAATAGTAAATCTCATAATTCAATTTACATATTTGAACTCAAGACGAATCTGACTTATTTATAGTAATAAAATGAATATAAAAGAAAAATATTTTGATATTTTGCCTCGTGCACTGCACGTGCATAAAAACTAGTCCCAAAAAATGAAACAAACACCCCCTAAATATATCCTAAAACTGTCTTTTTTCTCCGTTCTCTTCTTTAACCCGCTTCCTCCCAAAAATTTCCCCCAAATTCGAAAATCCCGCCCCCTCTAAAATCCCTAACCCCAATCTCTGAAACCCCTCATCTCAAACTCCCAACAGCTGCCTCCTCTTCATCATCATCGTCGTCTCCATCCCCTCAGACCCCTCATCATCGTCGTCTCCATTGTTAGAATTAATATAAAACTATAATCCGTGATCCTCACCATAACTTCGGAGTTTTGGTGTAATGGTTAGAGGAATTAAATTTAAGATGGTATCAGAGCAACCCAAGTTCAAATCCCACCAGCCACGAATTAAATGCGGATTTTCTAAAAATTGACACCGCTACGTGAATCCAGGTTTCGACCTATAAAAAAAGGCGCTCAACCTGCAGGGACATGCTAGAATTAATATAAAACTATAATCATCTTAAATTTAGTTCCTCTAACCATTACATCAAAACTCCAAAGTTATGGGGAACATCAAGGATTATAGTTTTATATTAATTCTAACATCCATCCTCTTCATCACCATCCTCGTCTCCATCCCCTCAGCGACTGTTCCTCCTCCGGGTTTCGGTTGAGGAGGCGATGCTTGAGGGAGGAGGCCGTGCTCGAAGGGCTCGCGGCCTGGGCAGATGAGGGGAGGGGAGGTTGCTGGCTATCTCTGCCGAGTCTTCGTTGCTCGTTGGTGCTGATCATGATGAACTGTTGATAGATGAGAGAGAAAGCGAGAGAGGAATTAGAGAAGACAGACGCGGACCAAATGCCTTCCTGTTTTGTTTTTTAACAGCCGTAGTGGTTATAAAGATAAAAAATCAAGCCACTTAGTCCCACATCGACAAATATGTAAGATTAATAGCTGTTTAATTTTAGACACTTTATCGACATTGATCGCCAATGAAGGCACTACCTCAACTTATTAACACGGTCTGTAATGATCGTGCGATGGTTGTTGCTGGTCAGTGTGTGATATACACACTTAGCTTTACACCGAATTCTTTCACTCCTGAAGTTGGTGACCGCAATATGCCATAACGCAAGAATTGCAAGTCATTTGCATTTAGTTCTTTTTATTACCATATCAATATTATCTTATTATCTTATCTTAAAAAAAAGTTAATTCGTATATTTGCCAATTTTTTGCCAATTATCTTATCCCTTAACAAGAAATATTCCTCTTATTGACTATTAATGTTATCTTATCGTATTTTCCCCCCTTGTTCTAGTCAAAGTTTCTGAAACTTTGGATGTTTTAATTTTTCCTTTTCTCATTTTGTCGATATGGAGATTACTTTTCTAATTAAAATAGTTTACTTCTATTCACTATACTTATATTTCATTTTAAATATAATTTATAGTAATTTCCATAAATTGCATTTAATTATTCTACTGTTGACTGTTCACTTGAAATAATATCATGGAGATGAGAATGTTATGATATACATGTAGATACGTAGTGGGAGGTAAGCTAGAAAATGAAGTGTATGCGTGCGCGCATGTGTGTGTATATATGTATAGAGCGAAAGATGAGTAATTACTCAGTGCTCCAACAAGAGTTTAACAAAACAATCCAAATTAGAACAAGGAGGAAGAAAGATATTGCTCTGATTAAGAATATAATGAGAGAGAATCTATTTAGATGTTTTGACATAGTTATGAATTAAGTTGATGTTGCTTTCTTAATCAAGTTCTTTTAGAAGAGCCATGATACAATTCCATGCCTTCAGTTTGTACTTGTAATATTCCTCCAAATTCTCTTAATCACAACTTTGCTAATTGTGATCTTTATAGATGACGCAGCGTGTCATCTATAAAAATTAAGTCACGTAAGAATTGATTTAAAATGAAGTCACACTATTGCTACTCGTAAAATTCCTTCATCTTAGCTTAAGAACCCACATAGCCTCTTGAGACACTATAGAAAATCATGCAAAGATGGAGGGAAGGAGAATAGAACACTGTTTCGCTGCTAATTTTAATTCAGTGCCATCAATATATTATATATAACAACCAAATATCCACCTAAACACATAAAATATCAGTCCAATGCGACAATGTCGGTGCAAATCAACAAATGTAAAGCGTGTGAAGCCGTACTATGTTACCCTGTCCTTTCCTGCATCATTTTGTATAGCAGGCTCCCTATAAGTATTTTTTACACTTGTCCTGGCATGATGGGCCTAGCATGAGGAAATAAATATCAAACCGCTTAAAAGTATGAAAGATATTAGTTTTATTACGTGATCATTACGCTGTAATCATCACTCAATCAGTTCAGTTTATAATTGCGCAAAATTAAGAAAAATTTCAAGTACATGAAAATTCAAGGATTATTACAGCATCGGGATCGATACAGCAAAGCAAATTGTTACAACAGTAAAACTCAAATTATTCAAGAACGGGCAGTTGCATCCGCTGTAGCATTCATGGTGACAGCTCCGTGTGGAAGGAAGAGGAGATATCAAAGGAACAATTTATGAGAGGCACGAGTATGCTAGAGCCTTCTCCTCAGTTAGCTCCTCAGCAGTCGCATCCATCTTCTTCCTCGAGAATTCATCAATTGGAAGTCCTGATAAGAGGAAAACAGTACTAAACCCTGAGTAGATTCAAATAATTTTGTTATGGTTAATACCATCGATCGCTTCGAACAGTGTTAATCTTATGAGAAGACAAAGCAGAACATGTTAAGAAAACAACTACAAATTGGCTTGTAAAACCTCATTATTGTCAAAGTTGTTAGGTCTCATATTTATGAGCCTATTGTCTAATCTGATTTTGATGATTAATAAACAATTCCTAATATTGTTGTCTAGTATTTGCGTTTGCTCGTTAGGTATTCGAGATTCTCATCCTCTGTTGGAGGTTGAATGGAATTGCATGTTAACGATGACATTCTTTGGAGGTTGGCGGACATCGGAAAGAAGCCGTCGCCATTCAAGTCAAAGATTCTCTATCACGCTTCATCCCTCCTAACCAAGAACAAGTTTCATGCAGATTATTTGCTTGGGTATAGTGTTTGTGTTTTAGGTGTTAATACTTAAAACTCAAACCATACACATACACGTTATTCGATTTATCGCTTTCATTATTAGTTTCGCTTTGTAAAAGAATTTTTAGAATATCTTTGTAGATAAGCTGTTTGAAATGATTTCATCAAAATCAAGTGTTTAACGATCTCGTATTTTTGACCGTTTTGCAAAATAGTGAGTTTTCATAAATGGGAAATGCTATTTTAAAAATTTCTCTTCCAACATGTTTATTTTCATATGTATAAACATTTTTCCAAGTTTTACTATTTTTGGAGTTGATTTACTATTTTAAATCGAATTTAGAAAATCAACTTTTCAGCAAATTCAAGAATCTGTTGTGTTTGTTTTCAGTTGACCGATTGTTCAAGTCAGTCGACCGAATAATACTTCAGTCGACCGACCGTATTTTTCAGTTGACTTGGCAGAAGTGTTTTGTACAACATTCTCTTTTACAGTCGATCAGTCGACTGACAAATAGAGTCAGTCGACCGAATAATGTTGTCAGTCGACCGACGTTGTTTTATTTTTCTAGAATTAGCCAACGGTCGAATGCTCAGTCGACCGATATACCTATCAGTCGACTGATCATCCATAACGGCTAATTTTTGTTTTGAACTGTTTGAGAGGCTATAAATAAGCCTCAAGACTTATTTGAACACTAAGAGTTTTACAAGATAGTTTAGCCATTTTGGCTGCACGTTTTTGAGAAAAAGAAGTGTGTTTGTTTATGAGAAAAGAGCTTTACATAGTGAAGGATCTCGATTTTGGTTTTATGAGAAAAAGAGCTTTACATAGTGAAGGATCTCGATTTTGGTTTTGAAGCGCTCATCGTCAAATCTCATCTCTCATTGTTTTGGTGAAGTTTTCTAAATTATTTCTCTAGCTGATCATATATATTGATTCACATATATAAGCTAGATTTATTTGAGTTTAATTTCATTTTACTCATTATTTACACACACAACCACTTGAGCTTTAGTATTTCATTTAATTGGGTTACGAGAGTGTTTCATTGAGAGTGCTTATATTTCGTTCTCATTTGTTTAGAGAACAAAAACCTTTATTCGCACTTATTGTTATACACGTTGTAATACACAAGAACACTTAGGTTAGTGGTTAGGAAAGACCAGGGTCAATTACAAGAGGAGTGAGTTGGTTGTAAATCATAGGGAGAGTTTGTAATTCCAAACATTTGAGGAAGGTGACACGAGTAGTCCAATATTTATGAGATGACAAAATATGGCAAAACCCAAAACTTAGAGAAGTGTAGCTTGTGTGATTGACATTGTTTGTATTGTAAAAGTTATTGGTGATATTTGGAAACCGTTTTGTGTAGAATTTTTGAGTGATAGTGGAGATCTCATCGAGGTGAGGAGCGGAGACGTAGGTCGAGGGTTGACCGAACTCCGTGATCATATCTTGTGTTTGCAATTGTGTTTTGACGCACTATTATTCTTACATCTTGTGTTTGTGTTTATATCGCCCAGTGTCTCAATGTTTATCATTGCTTATCTCTTTGTATATCATATTGCTAGGATGATTTATAAGTTTTAATTTGGCATCAAAATCAGATTAGATTAGCATTACCCTATTCACCCCCCCACCCCACCCCACCCCACCCCACCCCACCAAAAAAAAGTCATAGTCATAACGGTTGGATCTTTAATGTCATAGCAATCTAGTTTATAAAGGGAAAATTCTATCAAAGAGATTAACAAATGATGGTAAATAATGAAAAAATGCACTGTATTAGTTAAACAAGCTTCAGCAATGTTGGCACCAATAAGGCACGCCCTAAAATGACATTGGTGGAAGAAAATTAAGGCTATAAAAAAGAGAGCCTAGAAGGCCTAAAAAGAACTTGGACAAACTGTTGAGCTCATGGTGGAAAGTCGTGATATTAATGAAAGATTAAGAATACTACGGTTCTATATGGTTTAAGCTGAGACCACAGTAGGTATGAAAGGAGCATATTGATAGCTAAGAACACTGTATACACAAGTCAGCTCCAATTAACATAGCATACAAAGACGCAGATTAGTGCTTGAAATCAGAGGAGCAGCGATGGAATTTTGAGGGGGGCTCCGATAATGGGTAAGAGGTTTTTATCTTTTCTTCGTTGTTGTGATTTCTGAAGGAGATCGACCCTCCTTTTATAGGGGCTAAGCCCACTATCTCCACCCCCTCAAATCCGCCCCATGAGAGATTTCCTCTCAACAAACCCACGTTCCCACGTTCTTCTCAACAGAGAAACGAACGTTGATTTGGTCACCGAAGACCGATTCAAGCTAACATCTCCCACTTGACCAAATTAACCAAGTGACATGCCTCCCACTATCCGTGAGATCGGATGTTTCTGCTTACCATTACTCCTACTATCCGTAGAGAGTAACTCTTATTTCATTATTCATGAAATTTTACTTAGACTTATTTATTCCTAAGTCCCATCAAACTTACATGTTTGATAAAAGATTCTGCTGGTATTCCATTTGTCAAAGGATCAGCGATCATATCTGTAGTAGGGATATAAATCACTTTGACTTCTCCCTTTTCTACAATATCTCGAATATAGTGATAATGTATCTCAATATGTTTTCCTTTGGAGCTATTCGCGCCACTATTGATTAAGCTAATTGCTGCTTGATTATCACAATAAATATCAATAGGACATTTTAACAAATTGAGATCAATATCAATAAAAAACCGTCTTATCCAGACAGCATGTGTAGTTGCCATACTGCAAGCTATATATTCAGCTTCTTGCGTATATCTAGCAACACACCCTTGTTTCTTGCTACTCTAAGAAACAGCTCCTCCTCCAAAGATGAATAAGTGTCCCGAAGTGGACTTTCCATCATCTTTATCACCTCCGAAATCAGCATCGGAATAACCGAGGAGTTCAAGCGAATCAGCTTGATAAACTAATCTATGAGTCAATGTACCTCTGATATACTTCATAATCCTTTTAACAGCTTCCCAATGTGCTGGTCCTGGATTACTTTGATATCTACTGACTAGACTCACAGCATAAGCTATATCAGGTCTGGTGCACAACATTGCATACATCAAGCTTCCAATTGCTTGAGCATAAGGAACATCTAATCTATGATGCACGGATACGGATACGGGACACGGATACGACACGGACACGGATACGGGATACGGCAAAATCCAAAAAAGTAGGATACGGGGATACGGCTAGGATTTTTTTTCTTCAAATTATTATTATATATAGAAAAAATTATAAAATTCAACTAATAATCTAAATTATTGCATAATGAGCTGGGCATTGACATGGAAACATCAAATATTGAAGTATAATAAACTGGCATATATCTCCATTTCAAAAAAGAATAAAGGAGAGTGCAAATGAAATAATGGGTCTTAAATGTTAACATTAACTTAAAATTGAGAAAAGTAAGACAAACCCTCCTTAAATTTATAGATTTTCAAAAAAAATCATTTTTAAATAATCTTTTGACCAGATTATAATTAATTATAGAAGAAACTTGAAGTTGAGAAAAGAGTAACTTTTATTTCATTATTCATGAAATTTTACTTGGACTTATTTATTCCTAAGTCCCATCAAACTTACATGTTTGATAAAAGATTCCGCTGGTATTCCTTTTGTCAAAGGATCAGCAATCATATCTGTAGTAGGGATATAAGTCACTTTGACTTCTCCCTTTTCTACAATATCTCGAATATAGTGATACTGGATCTCAATATGTTTTCCTTTGGAGCTATTCGCGCCACTATTGATTAAGCTAATTGCTGCTTGATTATCACAATAAATATCAATAGGTCCTTCTAACAAATTGAGATCAAGATCAATCAAAAACCGTCTTATCCAGACAGCATGTGTAGTTGCCATACTGCAAGCTATATATTCAGCTTCTTGCGTATATCTAGCAACACACCCTTGTTTCTTGCTACTCCAAGAAACAGCTCCTCCTCCAAAGATAAATAAGTGTCCCGAAGTGGACTTTCCATCATCTTTATCACCTCCGAAATCAGCATCGGAATAACCGAGGAGTTCAAGCGAATCAGCTTGATAAACTAATCTATGAGTCAATGTACCTCTGATATACTTCATAATCCTTTTAACAGCTTCCCAATGTGCTGGTCCTGGATTACTTTGATATCTACTGACTAGACTCACAGCATAAGCTATATCAGGTCTGGTGCACAACATTGCATACATCAAGCTTCCAATTGCTTGAGCATAAGGAACATCTAATGGCTTTTGCCCCTCTCCAGGGCTTTGCTCTTTACATAATCTCTTTCCCATAACCAACGGAGTTGGTGCCGGATTGGAATTCTCCATTCCAAACCTTTTAAGAACTGATCTTAAATATTTTTCTTGGTTTAAACTTAGCATTCTAGACTTTCTATCTCGAATTATTTGAATTCCAAGAATATATGATGCATCTCCCATGTCTTTCATCTCAAACTTTTCGCTGAGATCTGCCTTGGTTTTATTCAACATTTCTATGTCATTTCCAGCGAGCAATATATCATCCACATATAAGGATAATAT